GATTTTTCATTTTTAAAGTATTTAGAGATCAAAAATATTATTTTAATTTCCTTTTTTTGTGTGTGTGTCTCTTGCTTTTTCAGGTGAAAATCTGGTTTCAGAATCGCAGAGCCAAAGAGAGGAAGCTGATTAAAAAGAAGTTGGGTCAGTCCGACGGCAGCAGTGGTTCGGTCCACAGTGACCCGGGTTCTGTGAGCCCTCTGCCCGTACCGGGATCCCTGAGCCCCACAGAGATCCACAGCTCTCTGTACCCCCCTCCGGGAATGAACACCCTGCCATCCATCAGGAACATACAGCAAGTGACTGTGACTCAGTGAAAACAGTTCATGTGGACCTCCTCTCCAAACTGAGCACTCCCAACAGGCTGGCAGAACACTTGACAGGCAGCAAAGTTAAAAATAATAATACGAAATAAATAAAAAAAAGGGATCCGAACTCACAAGGATACAGATTTGATTTATAGCAACAAAATGCTGGAGGTTCTTTGAATATCTTTTTATAGAATAGTTCTAATGGGGGGCGCTGGGAAATGAAAGCTTTAAATTGTTTGTGAGTTATAAGATATAAATATTTGGTTTTGTATGTGATAAAGTGAATGTGTTTGTGAATAAAATTAGTGTGTGGGGGGGAGTTTTGAAACTGGATAAAAGGCAGCTGAACCAAAGTTTACTTGACAAATCATTGACATGTTTTTGGCACAGTTCTGTGAAGAGCAGCTGGTACTGATACGGGTAAAAAAATGGCTTCTTTATAAATGTAAATAAAGTGAGTTTTGTAGTTTACGTGTATTAATTGTTGCTTTTTTATTATGAGGCTGTGAAATGGGCTTTTATGAATGAATGGACAAATAATAGCCTGAATCTGTTTTTTATTGCTAGTTTTAATAAGTGTTGTTTGGTCCAAGTATTTTTTTTTATTGACGTGTATAATCTGAAAGAGTTTATCATTCTGAGCAGCTTTGATTCTTCTCTCTGACATGTCTGGTTGTGTTCACACACCAGCTCCAGTTAAAGGCTGCGACTGTATGGCAAGTGGATCTGTCATATAATAGTCAACTCAAGAGTCATCTCTGCAGGTTGTCATTTTGACCAGGTTACAATCAGTCATGTTGAAACATGATGGTTTTAGCTGTTCTGGGCAAACATTGAAAAGGTAATGCACACTCTCAACAAGATATCACATTCAGAGTATGGCTACAACTACAAAACTTTTTAGCTCAAAATGTATAAAATTGACAGAATTTTAGCCATTTTTGTAAAGTTAGTTGGCTGTGGTGATCATCTCAAATCAGGCTAGCTTCATAAATTACTTAATTGTTTATGTAAAACAAAATATTATTTCCCAAGAATGACATTAAATACTGCTCTGAGGTCTACAAAATATGTTGCTAAAGAAAGAGTTGACTCCAATGTGTTACTGGATAAATTTAAACCAGGATCTTGCACTTTCTGTTAGCACTCAGAATGGGTATTGTGGATCAGATCGTCTGCAATTTTAGCTCAGTATTTGTAAAATGAACTGCTTGTGTGTTTTAAATCTGTCGGCTGTGACTGCCATCTTGAATCAGTTTGACTGTAAAATTCGACAGTTGCAGATGCACATCAAATAATCCAGTTTCCCATGAGATTTTTTTTGCAAACAGACAGGCACAAAAACACAATTGTTTGCCTTTGCTTTTTGACAGTGGATATTTAAAATAACACATTTATTAAAATTAAAACTAATATTTTTAAGTTTCCCACTATAAATATTCTGTCAGGATTTTTTTAACAACGTTTCAGAAACCAATCATTGGCTGTACATTTAAACTGATTGACTTTTGGAGTCAATTCAAGATGGCTGCTACATACAATTGATATTATTCATCATAAAAATGGCTATAACTCTTGTTATTTTGAATAGCACATTTTTCCAAGGTTTGACATAAACTCTGACAATAGCTTCCTTCAAGGGAAGCTAGGCTTTTATTTGACATCTAAAAACAATTTAACAGTTTAAAAGTACAGAATTATTATTGTCTGCTCCAGTATCAAATAACCATATGTTTGCTCCTTCACTAATGGACTC